TCACCTCTCGACTGTTTGGTTGGCCTTCAAGCTAGTCTGAACACACCGAGAAGGAGGAAACGGACAAGCAAGAGATTGACACGGAGGAGGAAAAGAAGATGGAAATGATGAAAAAAGGCAAAGACAAGATGAAGCAGAAAGAGGATGGGACAGAGAACAGGAAGAATAAAAAGGCGGAGGGTGAAGAGGAGGGAAAGAAATGGAATAAAAATAAATAAATAGAGATGAGATGATGAAGAAGGAGAAGAAGAAGCAAGGCGAAGAGAATAAGGGGGAGGGGAATGGAAAGAAGAAAGAGAGGTGAACGGAGGAGAGAACGATGCTAAAAGAAATAGACAAGATGAAAAAGGAGGAGAAGCTGAAGTAAAGAGTGGAGCAAGTAAGGGAGGAGACGATGAGGAAAAAAGCGAAAGGTGCAATGAAAATAAAGAAATATGAGATGTATTCACCCAATTTCGTGTAAGGTGATGAAATTCAATGAAAACATCAGCTCAACTCATATCATTGTGGGAAAATTCTTCTTCTACCAGTGCTTCATCACCTTACTGATTTACTGGTAGACACGAAAAACAATTCTTGATTCGAAAAATAAAATAAAGAAGTTGAGGATGTAGAAAGAGATCCTTGATGTTAAGGTTGAGGACGAAGATGGCTCTGTTGTCGTCATGACGAGCCGGATCCACTTGATGAGGCGAGACGTGTCTGCGTCGTCAACTTTACAAGTGAACTTTTTGAGCGTCCTCAGGACCACCAGAATTGAGAGTTAAGAGGCAATTCCAGTAACCAACCTCGAGGCCAATCAGATCGAACTTTGCTGTCTGACACAACAGCAGAGTCGCAGAAATCGGAGGGATCTTCTGCTTTAAGGCTGGTTTTTTTGGGGGTGGTGGTGGTGGTGGTTCGGTTAAAAGATGGGGATGAATAGACGTTGTCCTTCAATGCTACAAGTTGTTGAGAGAAAGGGATTCTTAAATTGGCCTCATCCAAGACCCAAGTTGGAAGGCCTTTGAGCAGTTGTCAACGTTGATTGAGGCGAGCAGATCTTCACCGCACCATTTAGCGACTCAATCCCTTCAAGCAGAGCCTATGTCTACCCCATTGTGACACACACCAACCCACCCATCACCCCACCTGCCACACACACCTTCAAAACGTGATACCATTCTTTAGGATGCCTCTACCCTACGCATAACTAATATTGAAATGAACACACATTTCATTGTCAACGTAGCAAGATCACAAAATTTAGGTGAATTTTGTAAATGAACTGCCGTTCTCTCGCAACATTCGCCAGTTCACTTGTATGAAAGCATAAAGAGAAAACATTAAAAAATCCCAACAAATCGTTGTGGGCAAAGTTGGGCCATAATAAAAGGGTGGGATTGTTTGTGTGTCTGATGAATATTCTTCAAAGATTGATACTACGTTGTGAAGATGCCTGCAATCGATTTAGTTATGAACCCTGAGAACCGATAGATCCAGTTCCACAGGACGATGCGCTGATGACGTCGTCCCAATCCTCCTGTACTTTCAGTCGCGATTTGGGCAAGATTTTGCATACTTTTCAAATAATGGTTACTTCGAGAAAACAAATCGCGTGACATTGAATCATCAAAATATCCTTTCAAATCAATGTTGCGCAAATTAGAGACCGTAACTCGTGGAAAAAATCGTAGAAAAATAGGTACCATTGCAAAAATGTGGCGTAGATGTGAAGATGGGGGGGAGAAGTTTATAAAACACATTCCAAAGCCGGACCTGTGCAGCAAGTGGAATCTAGTGAGTTGTCCTGACACCCTTTTCCGTTCATAGTTTTGGAGCCTTTTTATCGTGTCATTTTGTCACACTTTTTCTTTTGGTTCGAAAGCCTGTCCAAAGGGCGCTTGTAAATCGGCCTCAAAGTTAACCGAAAAAAATGAGCTTGTTGATTTTTTTAAGCAAATAACCTCTCGACCAACCCATCCAATCGTGCGATGCTTTCTTCTGTCCCAAACGATGGTGCACACCATTAAGGAAAACATCGTCGAGCAAAAAGTAATAAAGTCGGCCAATTGGTAGCATCGCATTTACACACACACACACACACACACACAAACAATGCTCTTAAACGAATACAAGAGGCCTAACACAGACAACAAAGTTAAAAAATGTACGCGAATTCGGTAGAGAAGCAGCTGTTCCTTGGCAAGCGAGTCGGAATGGTGTGAAATAGCTGATCACATTGAGACACGTTTCACTAAGTGTGATACAAGAAGAAGATTTATTTATATTTATGCTAAATAATATTTTAATATACATTGAATATATGAAGACCAAGATGTTGTGGCTTCTGGTGTGGTCGCAGTCTCCTTTCGATTGATTGTCTCTTTGACGAGTTCGTGTCTTGGTGCGGCGAATGGCAAAACTGACTGATGATGCCGACTACGATGCCGAAGAAGCGTTTAAGAATGTACCAAGTCTACTGTCTGATGCTGGGAATCATGACAACTACGATGGCAGACGACTTCGGACTATGTGCGTTCTACATGGTCTCCCTGAAAGCAAGACCAAGTTGAGACAACGAGGTCAACCCACTTCTATTTTAATATACAGTTTCCATTCTTCGATATGCCAATTGGCGGTGAATTTAATTTGTTTGGATGATGGGAAGAACTTTAGTGATTTCATGAACATGACAAATGTATTGAGCACCTTTTTGGTTGTTCTGTACGGATTTCATCTCGCCATTATCATCCTCGACGGTCGCTTGCAATTCGCCAAGTCGAAACTGCAGTCCAGTTCAGTCCAACCTGAACGAGATGGCTATTTGGTAGATAATACTTGCTCAACTTTAATGGGAAAGCTAAATTATCACTACTCAAATCAACTTAAGTGACTTTGGTTGAGTAAGCTTTGAGTCAATTTTTTCAACTTTGGATTACTGTTTATTTGTTCGTTTGCTTTGCCAATCTTGAAAAATTGTCCACTATTGCTGAGCTCAAACATTTTAAAATTCTTTTTTGGTGTGTTTTCTTCCATCTCTTCAAACGCAAGTAGTAAGTAGTACAGTATTGAGTGAAAGTTTCGTCCGCCTGCGTCACTTGACCTTCCTGGCCCGAAAACAGCCCCTTTTTTCTGGCCAGCCCTCTCCCTCTTTCGCTATTACAGTTTTGCACTTGGCGCCCAGTTGCTAGAGTTAGCCGTGCCCACAACGCCTCGCGAAAGTCGACTGATAGTCGGGACACCTACTGACTGTCAATATAAGTAGTCTGGCCGAATGTGCAATGATGCAAACAAACAATCTGCCCTCTCACCAACCGGTCGACAGGATAGTCGAGCGTAGTGGTAGTACTGCACTCCTCGGGTTCGAGTCCCGTCGGGGGGTAGACGAGAGCCGATGAGATGAGACCGGTTTTGGAGACCAACTGCACGATCAATCGACATTCATCAGCTCAACCAGCCTAGGCTGTCTACAGATCCCATTCAACGTGTACTGATAGTTCTGAAGACCTGGTTGCTATGACGAGAAATGAAGGTACATCAACCTGTAGAGCCTCAAGTGCCACCCCACCATGGCGAAAATGTCTCGGCATTCGCCGTCCCAAGTTCCTCACGCCCTCGGACACCACGACAGGCTACATCTCCAGTAAGGGAACTAGTACTCATAGTTGCCATGACGACATGAGATTTTGCTGATACGACGTGGCTATTTCCAGGTGGGAAGGGCGGTCGGTGCGGTCCTTGCTCGTCTACTGCGCCTCGTCGACGGTTGTATGTTCGGCTCCGTTCGTACGAGCACATTAAAACACACACACACACACACACACACACACAGACAGAGGGAGGGACAAAGCTTAGTAGGAGTGGCGTATCGTGGCGACTTGCAGCGCCAACATCGTAACACATCGCGGCAGCAC